ATTAGCTGAGGGAAACAAGATTTTTCGAACAAGAACACTTCATAGGAGTGATGTTTTGCTCTACCTGACATGTTATCGTACCGAATACTCAGTATCCCCAAATACTTGGGAAAACAATTTCGCAAGTGATTTCGCAAACTCGGTAGTCTAGTGGTTATGGTGCCAGGTTAGTTATCTGGAGGTTATGGGTTCGTTTCCCACCCATATCACTTGCGAAATTTTTTTCACAAGTATTTGGGGTCATACTGAGTATTCGGTATGATAACATGTAATATAATTACAGTAAAATGTCATTATTTTACATACCCCTTGGTACCAAGGTGTATTGAAAAATTGATTAAACTGAAAAATATGTAAACTAGTATGTGTCTATTTGTGTACCTTTGCATGTTGTTGATGTTTGTGTACCGCATTGCAAGGCAGGGGCAGGCGATTGATCATAGACCGTTAATATGCTTGGCTGTTACGTATTTAGATAGTCAACAAATTGAGGAGTGATACTGAATAAACCGCGCGTGGAAATCGTGTCATTCAACCAGTGGCAAGAATGAGAGCATAATAATAAGAATCATCATTTCCGATCGTTTGTGGTACCGCTTGTTTGGGAATCTACAATTACAAGTGCGTTCAAATCGTTTTGGGTATTGCACACTTGCTCAGGGTAGTCTAGTGATGTTTTATTTTTTCATTTGCACCTAGCCTTGGAATTTCCCTACTCATAGTTTAGTATTTAAAGAACAATACAACACACTTATTTTCATTAATAATAATATGCTTTATTACTTTAAATATCAGTTTTTTTTATGTTATATTCATTCGTTGATGACATCATCGATTTCGTAGGTCATTTATAAAATCAACGATTCCTAAATTGACATTCATAAAACGGACATTTTGCTGTATATGGAATGTCTAGATAGTCTTAAGTGAGACTGACAGCATAAAAAGCTTCAGTGCAGGCCAATTTCAATTTCATTCAATTCCTTTTCTACTGTACCAGATACCATAGCCGTTCGGGTGGTAAAGACAAGCACTTATGTGGATAAAAGTCTAAAAGGGCACTAGCATTATCCTGCATTAGCTTGAACTCACAAACTTCCTGATTTAAAGTTCCTGGCCTACCTCATTAATTCAGTTTGCTGGGGCAGTTTTGGTTATACCAGCATGTGTCAGACGGTGACAGAAAAAAACAGCACTATAAGGCTGAATCTTATAAGTTAAACTTCAAATGGGGCACTAAAATGTTATATAAGTAGCCTTATATAACATTAGTAGGCTGTTGAATAATAATACCCAAATATTTATAAGGCGCCAATTCCAAATTGAGTACAATGGTACACCAGCACAAAGTGCAATCTTCTCTGCTCCCTGGGGAGTATCCCTAGTTACTCGCTACTTCTTTAGCGCATGAAACTAGAACATTCAATGCCGCAACATCCTACCAGGTACCTATTTATACTCCTTGGTAGAGAGAGACGAACGTAGATAAAGTGCCTTGCGACTTGCACAGAGAGAGTTTTGAACCCCTGACCTCAAGGTTGGGAAGTTCAAGTCACAATCGGTGCACCAACCGCATCTCACTCATGAACCATTGAAAATAAGATGCTGAATGTTAAATAATGTGATGAATTTGTATTTAGCAATAGAATACTAAATGTGTCAGTAAATGTTAAATGTGCATTATATTTTACTACGGAAAATTATATTACATTTTTGTCATATTTTTGTAAGTGCACACACACTTGAAATTGAGAGGTAGATAACTAATCCAAAAACTGAAGCACAAAATAGTACCCTTTGTAAAAACAGGGAAGTCAAAGACAAACTTCACTTTATTTTAAATTGCCCCATTTATAACATAAGAAGAAAACTATTCATGGAACTCAAATTTAATCTTCAATTTCATAATATGCCAAAAAATGAAAAATGTCATTATATTACGGGTGCAAACAAGTTTGATGTAATCAAGCTGGTCATGGAATCTGTAGAATAAGCCTTTGAAAGACATATAGTCCTTCAGGCTCCCACTTGAGTCAGCTAACTAAAGTGGAATACTGTACATCCCCAAATGAACAACATTTGATTGTATTTGATTTTTTATTTTGTATGATCATACCCATTTGTATACTGTACATGGTGAATCAATAAACTAAGTTATATGTACATCTGAATGCTAAACACACTGTGGAATGTATGCTAAACATATTGAATGGAATGGACTACAGAATGCTAAATGTGCCAGTAAATGCTAAATGCTTAAAAAAAAAGAAAAAAAAAGCTAAATATGCTGAAAGTAAAGCCAGGTACTCATTGAGCCCGGTGGTCGTTGACCGACGCGATTGTACGAAGAACACAAAGGCACAACAGATCCTTTTTAATGACGATCAGTTCAGACTGCCACTGACAATCAATGGATGGCATCGCATTGTCTAATGGTCACGGGGAGCGGTGTTGAATTCAAAGAGTGCTGCAGAATATACTAAATGCACTGCTGGTTGCTAGTATAGTAAAATACGCAAAAAGGAATGGGTTGCAAAACCCTCCATGTGTAGCTAAATTCAATATGCAGTGGCAATCCTGGAATTCCAAATAGACGGGGTCCAGGGAGGTATTTTGACATATTGAGGGTCATGGTTGGGGCTGAGGTGCAAAATTGTATGATTATGGCACATCTAGATGGCTGGAAATGGCACTCTAAGACTTGAATTTGATAAAATTTCCTTTTTCTGAAAAATTTAATGTAGGGAGGAGGGCCCTGGGTCATCTGGCCTATTGAATCTGCCTATGATATGCACCAACCATTATGAGCTAAAATATAGAAAAAGAAATAAAAACATGAAAATAGAAATTTATGTCGCAAAAAAATGGCAACATTCAATGTACAAAGTTAAAGATTATAATCTTGTTTCATGACCTTAAATTTATACAAGTCAAATCCCTTTAGTTCAACATATCCATAGCAACAACATAAAAAACACTATTATTCTACTTTCACTCTTCAGGATCTTAATTATCATCAGTATGCTCAATGCGAGTCAACATCTTAATGTCTGCCAAGTAAAGGTTATAATTTACACAAACACAGAATGAGAGACGACATACTCAACCAGAATTATACTTAAGGATATAGTAGGACTGCATCACTCAACATGATATGGTCTATTTTCAATTGCATGAAAAGCCACCTAAGCCATGCGGTACTAATCACTTCCTCAGATGTGATTGCTCTGGCGCTTGATTCAATCATGAATTGCATGTGCAGGAAAACAAAATTAGTGTGCAATAAAACTTCAATTATAAAGCAAACAGATATGCAAACCATAAACATACACACATTACTGTATGTAGGATAAAGTAATAAGGAGACACATTACAGTGTATGCGTGGGCACAGGCTGTGTACACAACTACAAACAATTAAAAGGTAATGGGCTTTTGTAGGGTTTTAAGCAACTGATTAATCTCAAAGCATTTGAAATAAGTAGAGTATGGCATTATCATCAATAAACATAATGTATGATATATATATCCATTGTGTATGTGCCTTCAAGAGAGGTTGGCCCCTGCTGCACTATAAAGAAAAGCTGAAATCTAAACTCAAGCTCAAAATGGGATCGGAAACTGCTAAATAATAACCTATATACAGTAGAGGAAAAACTGCTCAAAAAAAAAAAAACAAAAAAAAAACATAGAGCCAGTTAAAACTATCAGTAAAATAAATAATAAATAAACCCGAGATCAAATAGTTCAACTAGGATTACTTCTTTGCGAGTGAGGCATGCGCCTATGCACTTCGTTGAGTACGAAAGTAATTGTAAAACATGCATTTGTGGGACAACGTGTGTGCATGTTAGACATGCGCTTATTCCTGGCCCAATTCCAATTGGCCAGTTGTTACAGTAAATCTGATCGATATTCTGGAAAGTCCCATTATTATTGAAGATCGGTTTCATCTGGTCAAGCAGAAAACTCTACAGGATATGAGCTAATAGATGGTGGCCACTACAAAAACTAGAGGATGTATTGGCTTTTACACTTCATGTTAAAGAACGTGGACTTAAACCAGATTTTCTCATGAACTACTAGTCTACTTTTTTAATCCTATCAAAAACTTTACTGCTTACAGTAGACCAGGGGATCACCCACAAAGTCAGGCATTATTTTCTGTGGGGTACTCTGGTTGTGAACTGGGCAATACATCGCAATATTTTTTAGAACAGTGCACTGCATTCCTATAATAATGTGCACAAATTCCACACAGGGTGGTTCTACCTTTAACGATACAACTGACTTCGATAATTTTTCAACTATTTTAAGATCATTCAATATTGTCAATAAATTTCATTTACTTCTAGTTTTTTGGACAATAGAGAAATCTTGAATCTTGATCTTCAAACAGCCATATTTTATTTGCAGGAAATTGTTGTAATACTTACACACTGAGGGAGCCAGTTGGCCAAAAGACATATTAAAATTTATCATTTCATTGTACATACAATCAATGGTTGGATCAGAAGAATGAGGAACTAACTGATTTTGTTTTAGTAGGTTGTGTTATATCAAGTAAAGACAGACCCCTCTACGTTTTTGTCTACAGTATGTTGACCTATGTGTCAGACATAGTCATAAGATGTATTTTTGTATGTTACGTGGCCTATGGGAAATCCAGTCACATACTCTACGTGTTTTTGTGTCATAAGAAAGAGCATTCATTTTGTGATGGATTTCACCCTGTGCTTTGCTCTTGTGCTTCTAAATTGAATAAATCAAAATCATCCTGTGAAAGTATGTAATAAATCCTGTAAGTTGCATAACAACTTTAAAGAGGAAACACAACTTAAACAACACAGCAATATGTAGGAATATGAATATCAAAATTCTTAGTTTTTCTTCTGAAGTATGAATAATCAATTTACACAAAAGTCTGACTGGTTTTTATCTGCAATCAGATTATATCTGAAAAGAAATAATGTATTCCCAAAAAGATCAAATTATACCTACCTATGCATTCTAGTTTACTTAGTGGGTTCTTGAACGTCGTTAATTTGACAAGTTCGTCAACAGCACGTTTGTATGGAAAGCTAGTAGGATCACTTGTGGTATCCACTGTACTTAGGCAAAACTTTTTGATGACGCCGACATGCTCAGGTAAAGAACCTTGGTATCGTGTCATTGCAATGGCTGCATTTCGTTCTTTAGAAAGATTGGCAATTCTATGAAAGTAAACAGAGAAAAGTACAATTTTTAATTTATTAAATTCTTCAATTTATTTATTTTTATTAGTCTGTTCTTTTCACTAAAAGCAACATTTTTCTTAAGGTAACACAAGTATTTACAAATATAGTGAGGACTGAATTTGATTGAGGTATGTGAGTTCAACTGCCTTTGAAAGATAAAAATAACAAGTAAAGAGCTGACAAATCTTGTAGATGATGACCTAAATGCCTATTATTTGATAAAAAGCTAAAATAGGTTTTTAAAACTTTTTATTATTTTTCTTAAAAAGACTGTCGCTAGCAGCACCAAAATGCACAAAGTATTTGTTTGTGACATACTGTACTCTATTGTGCTTTAGTTGTTTTCATGCACTTCTTCAATCTATACTGTAATATGGTTGTGATTAGCTAATAACAATTCTTTCCTATAGTTTTCAGCTTATTAGCTAGTGAAAATAGTTCTTCTCATCAATTAAAAGATAATTTTCTACACTCAAATTTAGTAAACATGTAATTAATGGATTTCAAGTCTCCTTTTTAGTATCACTTTTAAAGAAATAATTATAAAGAGAAATAATTTCAGGTGGTTAGTTTCCCGAGGGAGAAGCATCTTTAAGCCTGTGTTAGCCAAGTCAAGGCTGCACCTGTTTTGGGCCAGTCATGTTCTTACTAAAGTGCCTTGTTAATAGGCAGTTTTGAATCATCGCTATTTCCTATGCTTCTGAACAGTAGTGATAACATAAAAAAAAAATTCAAAGTGACACTTGACAAATTCCACTAGAATGAAAACTGTAAAAGCGATATAAAAAAAAAATAGAATGATTAATAAAAGCTAATTAATAATAATCATTAAGGTATTCAGTTACAAAAATTTATTAGATTTATGATATTTATGTGAACTTGCCGTAAACTGAAAGAAATGTTCTGAATTATTTTTATACTACAGTAAATTAATTCCAAATGCTGTAGGCTTACTTATTACAGTCTGTTAGGACAGAATATTGTACAACAGGAAGCATAGTTAGAATGTATTTTTTTTCGTGCCGCACCTTTAGGCTGTAACGATCAAGAGGAAATAGTCATTAAAAACTGTAGGTAGCGGTAGCTTTTACTACGAAGAAATGGGAATTCCAAACTAAGCAATGCACAGTTACAAAATAACGTCCATGAATTATCTATAAAAACACAGTGAGCATGCGCTTGGAAATGCTAGACAGCCAGTGAGCATGTGCATTGAGTAAGTGACGTTATCGAGCCATGTTCAGCATGCACAATTACAAAAATGACGTCACAGGAACCAAATAGCGGCTGCGAAGACGTCTCAGGAACCAAATAACGACTGCATAGAGGGTATGATTACCAAAAAAAAATCGTCTTAGGAACCAAACAGCGGCTGCGAAGAGGGTATGAAACTATATATGTTATGGATGGAAAATAATGAGAACTCGAGCGGGTCGAAAGCCTCTATTTTGGCTATCTTTACAGCCAGTTCAACAGTGTTCGTCAGGGGGAATTGTAATTAAATTATAGCAAAAAAAAGTAAATTTTAGGCTCTAGGGTCAAGCTCACTATAATCGTGCAAACCCGGTCGTCCTTGTTTCACCAACTGGGAATGACAAAATATGATAATAATGTGGAAAGTGTTACCAAAATTCAAAAGACCATAATATATTAGAAAAGTGTACCAAATTTCATGGAGTTTTGATAACTAACAACAGAGTTATGACGATATTCATAGTCATGAGTATGCAAAATTCGTGTGTCGCCAGATAAAAAATTGTAGCAATCTGCCATTCAATAAATGCTGTGCACCACAGGGCTTATAGTTACCGATTTGTAACCTGGTTGGAAGGTTGTCAATTTGTACTATAAGTTTTTTAAATCGATGTGGGTTTAGTATGGTTATGGTACAGTTTATCTGTGTCGCCAAATGCACGTAATTTACGTTACATAATCGTAATTGCTAGGAAAAACATATATTATTGCAGAAAAACTTTAAGGTACAGTAATAACTAATATTTGCTTAATATAAGATGTTATGAATACTGTATTGTTAATTCGGGAAAGTAGAAAAGCCATCTGCAAAATATGGTCTTAAACTTGAAATTTTGATTGTCGCTTTTAAGCAGTGAAACATACATTACCTGATTTCTTCATATACCAATTCAAGAATTTGAACCAAACTAAACGTGAGAAGTAGTTAAGTAATAAGCATGGATACAGTGTCAGTAAATCATCATTGGTGTTAAGTAATCATGTTTAATTAGTAATTGCAATTAAAAAAGTTAATTTACGTTACTGTAACCTACATTACGTTTTGGAATATTAATCCATATTAATGAAATATAGAGGGCATAGAACTATTATAAATGACTTTATTTACGCCGCCAATGACACATGAAAGTCTTAGAACCTTCTGAGAAAAAATGGCATTGAACAATTGACACCCAGAACCTTGTGTTTACCAACTTTGTGTTTCCCTCGAATGTTGGTCCTACGCCCATCATTAAAGTGAAGCAATTTGGTAAGTATTTATTATAGGCTGTGTCTCGACTATATTTAGTTAACAAAATAGTTGATATTTATAATTAAATGTTAAGTTGAAAATTTCAGGCAATAGCTTAGGCCTAGTTGAAAGGAATACTACATTGTTAAATGTCACGTATGTTAAACACACGGTAACGTATGTTATTGTTGATATAGCAAGTAATAAACATCATTTAATAAAAACATGGGCAGTGGCTGATATATTTACTTTCTTTTACATTTATCCTAACATACAGTGACTCTCTATAGGAATGATATCATTCATGGAAATTATCCCTATTGCATATATTTCTGATTTATGTTGATGGTAACGTATATTACAGTAAAATATTGTGTGTACATTATAATTGCGAGTAAATTCATGAAAGCAAAGGTTACACATTAAATAAATTTACCTAATCAACATTCTCTAACATCAAATAGATAAGATGACAACAAATATAAATAATCTTTGTGATGTTCTATTAGATGAGTAATCCTAGTAATGTAGGTTACAAAACTTTATCAAATTGAAAGAATGAGCAAAACTAGGGGCTTAACCACATTATCTTAAAAAAAGAACATATTATCAACTACTTCAATGATTTAAAAAAAAAACCATACCTAAAATAAATAAAAACAAATAAAATGTTCTTGTTGATTTTAGACAAAAATACTCTTTTATAGTCATTTATGATAGCTTTGAAAAATGTGCTCATTTTAAATGTGAGGTTATCATTTATTTTTAATAACATGTACTGTATATACACAAAATTAAGAAGAGAAATTATAATTTTGCTTCATTTTACAACGATAGACTTATGATCGTTGTTACATAATTATATGAAACTTACGTTACTAACATTTACATACAAAATGCGATTATCATTGGAAGTGTACAGTATGTTTAACAAATTTATGTAATTTGTTACCAGAGCATCTCTGTATGGTTGTTAATTCGAAAGATATACCGGTATGTTGTTTGTTTACTTTTAGTGAGCGAAAATGAAAAGTATCAACCGGATTAAAATATATTGTTATATTATTACAGCATCAATTATTCAAAACAATATAAATGTGTAATTATTTGGGTGTGGCACTTTTTCCCTACTTGTTTTTTATTGGTCATCCTATGTATAATGATATAGGACAGGGGGATACGTCTCCAAATATTTTTAATGGAATGGGGAGTTGTTCCTCTCACTTTTCATCCGCAATGTAATAATTTCATAAGCCAAGGAGATGCCTGAAAATTGTTGAAATTAATTGCATTGATGACCACCAGATGGTGTGTGCCACTGATACAAAAGTGTTCCAATAAAGTTCAGTTCAGTTCAGTTAGACCCATGTTTTAACGAAATGGTGCTGTACAATCGGCACTCTATCTCTGCCCACAACATCTGAATTAGGCCTACTTATAATAGTCCTACACGACTCGAGTGCGTGTGTCTTTGTTATAATTTGAAAAGTATGAGAAAAAGCATGTCATAATATAATAATAATAATAATGATATTAATAATAATAATAATAATAATAATAATAATAATAATAATAATAATAATAATAATAATAGGTGAAGTAAATTAAAAATACATCAAAGTAAATTGAGTTTATTTTCAATGGAACATCACAGCGATGATCAGATGACGAGATCCTGGATCTCGTCATGTGTACATGCTTTAGAAGAGATGATGACGAGATCCTGGATCTCGTCATGTGTACATCCTTTAGAAGAGATGATTAGATGACGAGATCATGGATCTCGTCATGTGTACATCCTTTAAAAGAGATGATCGGATGACAAAATCCTGGATCTCGTCATGTGTACATGCTTTAGAAGAGATGATGACGAGATCCTGGATCTCGTCATGTGTACATCCTTTAGAAGAGATGATTAGATGACGGGATCATGGATCTCGTCATGTGTACATCCTTTAGAAGAGATGATTAGATGACGGGATCATGGATCTCGTCATGTGTACATCCTTTAGAAGAGATGATCGGATGACAAAATCCTGGATCTCGTCATGTGTACGTCCTTTAGAAGAGATGATGACGAGATCCTGGATCTCGTCATATGTACATCCTTTAGAAGAGATGATGACGAGATCCTGGATCTCGTCATGTGTACATCTTTTAGAAGAGATGATCGGATGACAAAATCCTGGATCTCGTCATGTGTACGTCCTTTAGAAGAGATGATTAGATGACGAAATAGATCTCGTCATGTGTACATCCTTTAGAAGAGATGATCAGATGACGAGATAGATCTCGTCATGTGTACATCCTTTAGAAGAGATCATTAGATGACAAGACCCTGGATATCGTCATGTGCATTCTTTAGAAGAGATGATCATAGATCTCGTCATATCCTTTAGAAGAGATGATTAGATGACAAGACACTGGATATCATCATGTGTACATCCTTTAGAAGAGATGATCAGATGACAAGATCCTGGATCTCGTCATCTGAATATCTGGGAGGTCACTTTAAGCTTCCGTACTTATCCTTTACAATAAATGAGCATAGGGCTATATTTATTGATCTATAGGAAAATACAGTTACAGATTGATTTTTGAAACAGCTAACTTAAATACGATTACAAAACTTACACATAGGATAAATTTGGTAGTAGCTGTATACACAATTTGAATAAGCTACAGAAGTTGCGGCATTTTTTTTTATAGGAAATATTTCTTATTATATTTATAGTGATTATTATTATTACAGTACCATATTAGTAAAGGAAGACATAAAAATGTTCATTAATATTAATACAGTATTTTTGTTTTCGTTTATTATTTTATAGCCTGTTGAAAGTCCATCTGATTATTATAATCAAATTTAATTAATTAAATTTATATTTACTTAAATATATTTATTTTGTTTTGTCAGTCGTGTTTTCGAGAGCTCCCGGACAAATGATCTAGGATTACTATAAAGCTCCTGAGCAATCCTGTCTAGCGCGACTGTCTTGGTTCCCTATTTTGTTTTACATACCACAAACAGATTCCAGGCATCTGATAGCTTAAGAAGCGGGCTTCAACCATCACTCCTATGACGTAGGTTTGAATGATAGTTCATTTTTTCCATGGGAAAAAATACTATCACCCTAAATGAATCAATAGCACTTTTTTGCAATGTTGCGACGTGTAATCTAGGCCGCCACCAACAACATTGCTATGCAATTTGTGACATGTCCGGATAGTAAAGGGGACACGACCTCTACGACACTGAGAGAGATTGGCCCTTTGATCGCCTAGTCCTAGGTATTGTGTATTCTCTTCATTACTTTTTTAGGTCTTGTAGAATCTATGTATGAGGCATAAAAAAATACTGACTGCTCAAAATTTGGGGAACGGTGAAATCTATAGCCCTTATGAGCAGTCAATATTTGTTTTATATTTTACTTATTTTGTAATGTGTTTATGTAACATTGGACAAAATAAATGAAATCAAATTATTTATTCAATTTATATAAATATTGATATCTGATGATTTGGTGCATTATAAGTGCTGTTTTATTAATATTATTTATTATAATCACATTACAATCAATCCTCCAATTTGCATAATTTTGGGAAAAAGCAGTCCAAATAGTTGCAAAATTAGAATTCAAAATAAATGTCAAGATCAAATCCATTGCCTTGCTGAGGTTTGGCAATATGATATTGACATTGAAATTTCATTTAGAGTATAACCAAAACTTTAACTTTTACGATTACTAGTATACAGAAAATAATATTTTTTATTTATTTAATTATTTAGGCACACAACACATGTACTAAGGATTGTCAATAGTGAATATTTCGCTGTCCTACTTGTAGTTAAAAATCCCTCATAAAAAATACAATCATTAAAACAATTCACAATGTATAAAGCATAAAATTCATTAGTAAAAGTTACCTAAAAAACAAACAAAAGGCCAATACTGTACTATAACAGAAGTTAGATTGATGGATGGAATTGATGAAATTAATTCAAGGAGATGCAAGGATAGCCCAATAAATGAACAATTATACTGAGTACTTAATACTCATGAGAAAAAAACACAGACAGAAACTGAAACCAGGACCTTGGGGTTGGAAGGGAAGGCAAGCACCTTAACCACCAAGCTAGTCAACTCCACTAAAACATATAAGGTAACCATTATTAATTTTTTGATCAATAATACATTCTGAATTTAAGTAAAATATATTCATTTCATGTATTCCATTAATTTCATAAAACAGTAAGACAATTTCAAAAACACACAATACCTAGGCCTAAATGCTGTGTTGTTTTTTTTTCCATAGACAAAGATAAAATAATCAGAATTAATGTAGGAAGTAAGGCTAAATATACAGTCCTTTGAATTTAGAACATTACATCACTGAAGCGCCGATTAAAATAGAATGTGTTTTATTGCATTGTAGGGCTGTAGCCAGGATTATCAGTAAAGGGGTGCAATGACAGCAACCTTTCAATGAATGTCATGAGAATTTTGGGAATTTCTAATGGCTAAAAAAGAATTCCAGGAAGTTTTTTCAAAGAACGATTTTCTGTGGCAGTTGGAACAAGTCAGGTACATACAAAATTAACTGATTATAATATATCTTTCCAAAGTCACAGAATTAATTAATTTTATGTGCACAAGTCATTGAAAACTTTGACATCAGTGCAGTTTATAATACTTGGTAATGTCTCAAGACACACACCTCATGTAAATATTTTTTTAGACTCTGCAACCTAATATAACCGGAACAATGAATATTGGGAACTGCCTCCAACTAACTTAGGTCAATGACGGACAAAAGACTTAACATACGACCAAGAGAAATAACATTTGTATTTAGGATTAACCTTTACTGCAGAGGGCAAACAATACGATTCCTTGACATGTCAACCAGATGGCATGAAAGCCAACTTATTATATAGTACATCCCTATCCAATGTGGCATAATTGATCAAGCATACAGATCCCAAAATTGAAGATCCATCATCATCATCTGAGATCTAATATCTGTGACATCCAACCCTTTTGGAATGGGGGGGAGGGGGAAGGGAAGGTTGGGTAATAACCATCTACATTTTACTTATGTCACTGATTAGGCCCTATAACAAAATATTATTAGTTTATCACCTTACCTGGGTAGGAAAAGTGGTGAGGAAGGAAGGCTTTTTTTTAAATTTTTTTATTTTGCTAAAGCCAAATATCACCCTTGAGTGGCTTGCTGGTGCATTGATATTCAAAGTAAAACATGATTAGATAATGCAAACAATATGTACTAACTATTTTATAAAATAAATGAAAAAAAAAAATTGGGAAAAAAATCAATTAAAAAAAAAAAAAAAAATTTTCACAAATTTTTTTTTTCAGTACCGTAGGACACATGCACGTGGGGGTGATAAACTAATAATTTTTTTTATTGAGCCTTAGATTTTGGATCAGTATGCTGAACATTTCATAGCGATTAAGTGCATTAAGATCGTATTTTGAACAATGCCGTAGCCAGGATTATCAAACAGTGCGGGACAATATGAAGGTGGACCCACTTTACACGTAAATACAAATAATGTGGACCTATTTATTTAAAGTTTTACCCATTTTAAGATAAATATGAGAAATCTGGACAAATTTTTTTAAAGTGGACTCATTTTATGCATAAAACTACATAATTTGGACCCATTTTTTAAAATGTGGATCCATTCTTTGTGGACCCATTAGACAAATGGCGTGGGACTGTCCCAACAGCTAGCTACGGCATTGATTGTGAACATAACTATTCCATATTACTATCATTACTACATTTTGCATTTAATTCAAGGGGTTTTGATAAGTATGACAAAACACATCGAGTCCCCATCAGTCACCCCACCCCCGATCAAGACTCCAAGACACCACTAATGACCTGTGCCTGGGCCTTAGTTACTAGAAGTGTAAATTTCATGCATCTAGAATACGTCAATTAAAGTGTTTAATAAGGCAACATACAGAAGAGGGGGCGAGGTATGGCGCATCACCTCGTTCTAAAAAATAAATCAGTTTTGTAATGTTATTTTCATACCTGAATAGTTTCAAGAGCATTGGCCAAATCTCATGAAAGAACGGGTCTTCAATTAGTAGCGTGCATCGCTCACGAGCATTTCTTGAATCCAACTCTTCATAGACAGCAACAAACATTGATAATAATTTCTCTAAAAATAAAGATAATTAGCGAATTGATTGATTGATTGAATTTGTTTGATGCTCAAAATCATAGTTAGCAACCTGCAAGATTTGAAATGCGTGACCACGCCAAATGGCTTGGGGGCCGCCAGGGCCACCACCGCTGTCTAAAAAAGTTTAAAAAGTTAAATGAAGAACAATAAAAAAAATGTACATAATTAAAAACAGCACCCACAAAATGTGAATTTTTAAAAGTGTTCAAAGACTCAAAATTGAACCCAGTAGAATGATAAAACTATAGTGTACTGTTGTGTCTTAAAATATTTGTTAATGCATGACTTGAATGTAGTAATGTTGTGATTAATTTTAAATTGTTTGGGAGAGCATTGCTGTCTTTAATTGCAGAGAAGAAATGAATGTAGAGGTAGGACCAACTTTACTCTGTGCTCACAAGTGTTGTATATACGTGTACGCTTGACAATTTAATTTGACCAATATGAACTGTACATCACTTGTATCTTGACAATCTTCACTGAGAGGGATCATTCTATCATCTATAGCTGTTTCAATGTTTTGGATTTCATCATTTGTTGGAAAATTTTAGTGGCCAATGTAACAAATAAGCCTATCATACATAAAATATGTATTGGCGAGTTGAATGTCTGAGCGGTTAAGGCAGGGGCGCGGCAACCTACAGCCATAATATTGGCGCTTATTCAAACGACACGCTCGCCTTTGGTTCTGGAGGTGGAACAAGTCTTCTCGGAAATGGACTATAAACCGTAGGCCCAGTGTACACAATAGGCTCATGTGCACTTTAAAGAACCCAGTAGGCCTACATCTTTCAAGATGAGTAGGGGTTATCCCGAAGTACTGGTCCATACATCCCCTGTCGTCTTGTGATGGGGTTCCCACTCTGAAGAGTGATAAGTTCATTGTTTGGCATATCCTGGGCCCTAGTGCCTAAATAATAATAATAATAATTTTGGCTTATATAGCGCATTATGCTAAAGCCTCAATGCGCTTAACAGTAAAAATAAAATTCGAAAAAAAAAAAAATAATTCGAAAAAAAAAAAAAAAAAAAAAAATTAAGAAAAATACAAGTTAAAAAAGTATATAATGGACCAACATATTATAAAATATATATAAAAAAAAATATTTAATAATTATAATACATAACATAGATTATATACTGTAATAATAAATAAATTACCATAGATTAGAAAGTGCATTAACCAAAAAGGAGGTGGAACAGTTGCAAAGGTGGTAAAAATTATCACGACAAACACAAAATAGTTTTCAAGGCATGACATTTTTGAATAGCTGATCTAAATTTTAATTCAATGATGGTGAACAATATCAACGGCTACAGTTTAAATATCTCATTTGAACTCAATATACTGCTCATTCTTTTCTTACATTTTTTTGACTTTTTGTATTAGTGAACAATAATGATTGCCCCTGGAAATTGAGTTATATTTCCCATGAATCTAGCCACTTTAGATGACTGAAGGTGCTATTTTCTTTACTGGCATACAACCCATTCATTCCATAGGACAAAGG